CACCAGGGTGAAAAGCACACCTGCCCAGGAAGCCAGCGTAAAATTCGGTACTGTCTCAGCCCTACGTCAGTGCTGCATGGAGAATCTGAGTAGTACTTACGACCTCATATCCTGCCGCATATTTTAGTCTCTCTGATCTTGAAAACCAGAGAGGTCCAAGGTCTGTAATATATACAGGAAAACAGATAATGGATCCCTTTATGTTGTCATCACTGAATTCTGTTTTGATGCATGTTTCAGTGCCAAGGCTTCTCTTATTCTCACTGCTGAAGGAGAGCTATTGCTGGACACCCTGCAGTCCCTCACTGAGCCATGAGAAACTTAGCAGTGTAAAACTGAAACAAGCTGCAGCAGTTGTACCATGAAAGCTTACTTTATATGTAAGCTGAGAAACAACAGCTTCTGTTAGGAGGAGCTAACTGAGGAATAAATCAGTGATTCTAACCTATAACCTTTCCTGAATGACCAGTAAAGTAAATAAACTCGATGCCAGAAGGAAATTTTTTTACTTATAGATCACCCAAACCTGTAAGCTATTTCCCAAGCCAAATTTTGTCAAGTAGTGCAGAACAGTTCCTCACTATTCCCCTCTTGGAAACATCCCTAGGACTAGAAAGAACTTCTCTGTCCCTGCTTTCTTGTTGGAAATCGCAATATGTGCATGTCTGTGAGCATAAACACAGTGAGAAACTACTGATGCAAAGTCAAATGAAGTAGTCACAGTTGTTCTGGTCAAATCTGTACAGCAGGTGTGGTATCACTTTTTTGGGAAGGCAGTTTGTATCAAGTGGTTCATTAGCTGAGCCAATGTAATGGGAATTTATTTGTGGACTTAAGATCTGCTAATTTAGCTTGGCTTGCTGATTCTTTAGCAAAATAGACACAACTTCAGAAAAGTCACTCTTCTGGTAACCTGAATGACTGAAGTTCCGGAGCTGGAGGTGGAAATACCCAACTAACCTATCTGCTTGGCTCACTGCAGTCAGTCTCTAATGAGCTCTCCATTTATTCTGTGTGTCTCTGTAATGCTTCTGCCAGCCTGCGGCTGAAGTGCTTCTAATGGCAATTTCTGTTTCTTCACTACTTTCAATGGAGTTGATTCTTCAGCGTATTGTGCTCGTTTTCATCCATTCAACTTTAATACTATCTACTGCAGTAGACTTAAACCAAAATGAAATATTTCTTGAAATGTTCAGGATGTTGTTGTTGTCGTCTGTTGAATTTAACTCCTTACCAGTGCAGAAGACACAAACAACACAGCAGAAATGGAAAAGTTTATTGCAAAACCAGAGAGATGGCAAAGTAGTATCCCTTTTTTTTTTTTTCCCCTGGAAGAATGAGCTTCTTTGTTTCAACCTTAGGTCCAGAAATTTTTACAAACTCCCTGTCTGCAAATCTTGGTTCTGCGTTGATCATCATAGTCATGTGAAATTATTTAACAGATATCTTGTTGCCAAGGTCACATGAAATCATTTAATAAGAACTTGAAAGTGAAGTTGTAAGCTCATCTCTCATTGAAACACTGTTTTGGCTTAAAAGAACCTGCTGAGCTGTAAGAATAAGCAGGACTGGGCATTTTCCCAGTAATAAGATGGCAATAACAGGAAAGAATGCTTGGCTATGTTATATGGTAAGTGAACAATGCATCCATGAATTTTATATATTTATATTCTTAAACATTTCATGGTGACTTAGTTCTGTAGCTTGTTTGAAATTACCCAGTGCAGGGAAATCATGTAGGTGGTCTTCAGCCATCACTAAGACTGTTATAAGTACCCCCAACAAAAGTAAAGGGAAATGTAAGTCTTTTTGTGGGGAGGAGATGGAAAGGAAACTGTTTGGGGGTAAAGAGTAATTTTATGAACCTAACTATGTTTCATTTAAAGCTTTGTAGTGGCTCTTCATTTCCACTCAGTGCACATTTTGGTCTCTGTTACAAAGAAGCAACACTCCCAGAAGATTTGCTCTCTTTCATGAGGTAAAAGGTCAAAAGACAAAAAAAGTTTGAATGTTTTCATACTGAATAGTTTAAAGCTAATCCCTACTTCAGAAGCAGAGCTCTCTCACTGCTGAGCTACCAACTATAGGTCTCCTCATTGCTGTCTCTCTGGACTCATGGATCTCAAATTCAAGTTACGGTGTCCCGATCTCAACAAGAAGGAATACTGTACTACTCACTCAGAGTGCCACTAACCTCATGGTTAGGCTCTCTCCTGTGAGGCAAGACCCATGGCCTTGGGCTCTGTCACCCTAAAAGGTCCATATGCCAGCTCTCCTACTTGAGCAAGTACCATAACCTCAGGGTTACTGTGCAGGTCACCTCTTCCCACCATTTTTAAATGAAGGTGGCTGTGGCTGCAGGTGTCAGTGCACTCCCCTTGTGTTGTGAGCACACTCAATGAATCAAGCAGTTTATGGCTGCAGTTTCCTTTTGTATGAATCCCAAACAGCCCTGGGCAGGAGAATGGCTTCTAAATACTGAACTCTGGCAAGGTAACAGTTCTTGTGAGCAGAAGTAACAACTGGAGGTGCTCATGCAGCCACAGGTATGGATTAAATGCAGTTTTTCTCATCATTTAATTGCATTTTAGGATTTTAATTGCTACTAAAACAGAAAACTATTTACAGGACTTGTGAGGACCAGAGTTCATCTAAGTGAGTAAGAATGTTCTGTATTTTAATGAAAAAGGGAGGAGATTTTTCAAGAAAGAATCAAACCTGTTCTTGTACTAAAGGCAATTGCTCTTTGACTGCTCTGGCTGCTCTGCATCCTTCAAAGGAGACCACACTGTGTCAGCTAAATGATTGAAAAAATAGATTTTTTTACCAGACAGTGTAGAGTTGGACTCTCCAAAGAGTTTTAAACAAAGTTGAGACACCACAAAACTTCAATTCAGAATGAATTATTCTTTGTACTGCTTCCACTAAGGAAAAACGCATAAAGTATTTCCTGTGCTGGACACAAAAAATTCTTCCCACTTTTGCTGCAAGGGATTTGTGTTTCATTCAAAGGCTTTACTTTTTAAACCAAAAATTTTCCTGCTAGACACTGTGTATGTGTTTGCTGTGTTTGTGTGAGGGAGCAGCTCCTGCTCAGGCTGGAATGACACCCTCCTTTTTCCCTTGTCTCTACTTCGATGACTGGTCTCAACCCATGAATCAGGAAAAAGACATACTACCAAAAAGCAAAGAGAGTGTGTACGTAACTCTTGAACACTAAATTCCAGAAATTCCCTCAGCTTAAATCCAAGTTCCAGTGGTAATGACAAGAAACTAGCACAGCCAAAGACAGCACCTAAGGACCAGGAAATGAACTGATCAGATCTCTTGTCCCATATTGACCCTCTAAGGCAGCTATTAAATATTGTCAGGAGGAAATTCCCAAGGACAGGGCCTGATTCACTATTTCCCAGAGTATACTGCTGTCTCATAAGTGGAATATAATAGCATAATGCTGTTTGTTCTTACACAACCTACTGAACACTATCTTCTTGGGCATACTGAACAGAGTTATTTACTCAGCTTATCGATTACACTGGAGAAATGCAATACCTCTTCTTTAATCTAATGCAAAGCAGTGGGTTTATATGTTTGCACGTGCTGTAGTCAGCAATGATTAGCAGCTTACATATCTCAGCAGTTTCTTTTTTCTTCCTTAAATTTTAAATAAAATGCAATGCAGATTTAGTACTCTGATCTGTGTTCTTTCCTTTTACTCACCTCATTTCTCAGATCTCATTCACAAGCTTCCCTTCTTCTGTCACCAGAAAAATTACGTCAATATTCCACACCACCTGATGCATCCTCTTGCCGTTTTATCCAAAGAACAGAGAAAACATATATAAAGTACTAACCAAAGTGTGTTGGGCCTGGAAACAACATAGTTTGCAAAACATATTGTCTTTATTTTAAGTTACAAGAATTGTCTCAAAGTTAAAAGCCTGGGTGTGTGCAATGATCTCACACACCAGATGTTGCCTCTAACATACAAATATCGAAGGAACTTTGGCAATGTGTTATTTTTCCTGAGTATTGGAAAGAGAAGAATCATTAAAAAGTCTGAATTTAAGACCTTGTTAGGGTTTCCCTGTAAGGGAGGTATTATAGAGAACATGGAGAACACCGGGAAAGCTGAAAATTTGAATCTGAGATACTATCTGCACTGACTTAAAAAAAATAAACAGGGAAAAACCAAACCTCTTAAAATAGAGTGGAATGCATGTTTGTGTTTATTTATGTCTTCAGTTCCATAGTTCCATGGAATGCAGTTCTAAGTAGTTGATTCACAATTAAGAGAGTCTTCAACTGAAATGATTGAAGGTCCATTCAGTTTCTTTACTGGAAAACCCTGTCATCCATCAAAACTTTGCCCATGAAAGGAAAACAGTGTTGCAGTTCCAGTGTAAATTCCACTGTTTAATGAATTTAAATCCCCACCAGTTACTGGGAAAGTTTAACCTTGGGATACTTTGTTCAATACTTTTCTAGTAGATAATGGATACCTGAAGAGAAACATTTGATACTATGCAGTCTCAACATCTTTAATAGCAAATTCACTGTGGTGTGATATACCTGTGGTGAATGTAGGAAACCGGAAAAAAGGGGCCACAATTACCCATCCACTTCGTAGTTGTGGCCATTGGCAAGAACTTGCAATGGCTACAGAAATAGTGCCAACCATTCTTGGAAGAAACACCAAGACAGAGGGCAATTAATACAGTTTGTTTATTTTCTGGCAGCCTACAATACATATTGGGCCACTGAGGGAGAGCCAGAGACTGCTTTAATCTTCAAGAATTAGCAATAACATGCTGTGTCAGAATTTTAGAGATTGGACTGAATCCACGTTAGCTTTACTGCTCTTACAAAACATTGAGACCGCATGGATGGTAGTATTTTCCTGTGCATTCATAAATGCCACTCAGATTCTGACAATTACCATCTTATTTATTTCAATTTATTTTATTTAATTATTTCATATTTTATTGTTTTCCTCACAGAGTTATTTACCCTCTGATCAAGTCTGCCCCCTGAATTTCCTGTGACTGAAGAACACATTTCCTTCTATCTTCTGCTTCTGAATGGAAGAAACAGCCTCAAAAGATCAAGAAACAGATGGACTGTTCTTGTTGATTCTCTCACAAATGAAGGTCTAGTTGCCAGTGGCTTTAGTTTCATTGGAAGAGGCAGCTGCTATGATACAACAAAGTGGGAAGATTAAACGATTTGGGGCCAGTGAGTTCACCCAGGAGAGAAGGGGTGGAGAAGACAGTGTCTAGGCACAGTGAGTCACTTGTGTTGGGAGAGCAAGTGCCTGGACAAGGTAGGTACAGACTAACACAGAAATGACTAAAACAAATGGCCCTTGAAACATGATTTGGAGCAGAGCCTGCAGCATATCTGCAGCACACATGAGATAAATCCTAGAAATGGTAGGAAGGGATGTCAGACTGGAACAAAAGCTGAATCTTACTTTAAAGTGCCCAAAATGGATCAAAAGACCCACTAGAAAAATTCACTGAGTACTAAGAATGACTGATGCTACATGACTTCTGGGAAACTTAGTATCCGATAGTGCCCATAGGACATGCCCATGCAGAGGACATGCCTTGCTTAGATAAAAGTACTGTGATGTATGTAAGAGCCTCAGCCATCCTTGAACGTGCTTCCTGATTCCCAAGAAGGGAATGGTGTAGCCAAGCAAAAGATTGTTGTTCCAGATGTGCATCTGGGTTTCCCTCAGCCTCTCACAGCCTCCCCTGAACAAAGGGTCCATTAGAACATGCTCCCCTGCCATTGCAAAGCTGATCTTAGGATTTAAGTACATTAATTTTATGGCAATAAGAGCCCACAAGTGTATTCCCCTGTGCTTCCTCACCTGGTCAGCATGAACACCTCTCCCGCTTTCTTGTACTGAATAGATCCCACACTCAGTCCTGAATTTTAAGCTCCTTGAAAATCTGAACTTTGCTACTTCCCCCATACCTAATCAAGTATTTCAAACCTGTTCTGTTCCTACTTGCTTATTCTTAGAACTGGTAGGTAAGGACCATCATGGAGTCAGGAAAAGAAGCTCTACTAGGAGATATATTTTTTTTCTCTGTTTCCCTAAAAAGGCCTCCAGTCAGTTTTAGGAGAAAGGGATTTTCTGTTTGTAAGCCTTCTTCCTGGTGTTACTGGCAAAAACAAGGGACAGGTTTAAATAGCTCCTGGGCGGATCTTCTTTTGCAACCAACATCCCCAGCTTAAGCTTTCCTACAGACTGTGTGTCCTCCTGATGTGCCCCCAATACACAACACATCTTTGCCACCAAGTCCAAGAATTTATAGGAGACTGCTGGAACTGCATTCAGAGGAAAAGGCACAGAGGCTTAGTGGTAGAAAACAGCAATATGACTATACAAAAGAAAAATAAAAAACTCTTACCTGGTAACTCTGCCAAGAGTTTGTTAATTTGGTTTCCTGTCTGCTGGTGTAAACACCCAATAGCAAATGTCCCCTAACCACACAGCTTCATCCCTCCGCCTCTGCTAACCCTCTCTCCCGATGTGGTGGCGCTGAGTATAACAGGCCTAAAGTCTCCAGGTGTACTTGAAAAGCCTATCCCTAAACCTGGTTCTTTCCTGAGGCTTTCATAACTATTACAGCTCTTGTGATTTCAGTGTCAGTTGATGGGGAGAAGTTGAAGAGTTTATTAAGGACAGCAGCTGTTCCCTAGAAAGGACCCTGAGAAACCACTGGAGACCTTCTGCTGTCTCCAGATAGACTTAACTGTAGCTGACAAAGGTTTTTGTAACCTCTTCTTATACAACCCTAGTGACACTGAAGACATAGCTTCTTCACACAGCCTCTTCCAGTATTTAATTGTCTTCCAAGCTGAAAGTATTTGTTCAGGGTTCAGCCTACAGCTCTCTTGCTGTTTTTAAACTTGATTTCTTCCTCTTCTGTGCTCAGTGTGGGTATTCAATGGCTAATTTTGCTGCTGCTGTTTTAAAAGTCTTGTCCCTTTCTTCAGACTAAGTCATCCCAGTTCTTTCAAAAGTCATCCCAGTTTTGCATAATCTTCATTCCTCCCTCGTTCATTTGTCCATTTGCTTTCTGGTTTAGGGTAGATAAATAGCTATAAAAATGCTCAAAATGACCCTTGGGGGATTCTAAATAAAACCCTTGTAATCTCTGTAGTCATCAGCTCCTTTATTCATACTAATAAGGCAGGATGAAGTATGGGTAAATAAACAACCCCAAGGCACAGTTAATACAAAGCAAGTATAAAGCAAAAGGTAAGTCTCTGTTTTGTAGCTCTGGAGCTGTTTTAGCTGTACAGCTATTACAGTAAACAGGTTTCCACAGGGAGATGCAGCAATTCTGAAATACAGTAAGAGCACCTGAATCAGAAAGAATTTCTTTGTGGAAAGGGTTGTTAAGTATTGGAATGAACTGCCTAGGGGGGTTGTGAACTCACCATCCCTGGAGATGTTCAAGAAATGAGTGGATGTGGCACTTAGTGCTATTGGTTTAGTTGACAAGGTGGTGATCAGTCAAAGGTTGGACTCGATGATCTTGGAGGTCTTTTCCACCCTAAATGATTCTGTAATTCTGTGGTTCTCTCTGGCACGTGGCCATGCTCAAGAGTGAGGGAAAACTGGGGCTCAGTGGACCCAAAGATGACTACTATTAAATGCCATTCTTCATTCCTTTTATCTCAGAGCTTTTGTTCATATACAGTGGTGGATGGCTCTATGACATGTACCCATCAGGGATAGCTCTGTGTCCTCTAGAGCAACAGACCCAAAACTTTATTGGCCCATGACAATACTGACTGAAAATACATTCTGGAGCAACATCATTTATTCTCCTTATCAGCTTGAGTTATGGTATTAGCAGTCATGCCTGGCTACAAATAACATTGGAAGTTGGAGTCTACAATATTGTCCATAAGCCACTTCTCCAAAGCTTCAGGCTACAGAGCTTACACATCGTTTTCTAGGATTGCACGTTCTTCTGAAGCTGTTTTCTGTAATGTTAGGTTTAGACACTGGTATAAATATACGTATTGGGCAAGGTATGTTTCTGGTTAAGATTCTGAAGATGCATGATGTAAAGAATTGAATGCTTTCCAATCCCAAATATGTAAAATGTGCCATGCTTTATTTAGCATATCTGTGGACGGGAAGAAAGAAGATTTAGCAGCAGACTGAGTGAATCAAAATGCCAGGGTAGTTTTTGACATTATTTAACTTGCTTATATGCATTTTCAAAGTAGTATAAGAAATGCAAACTGATAGTATTTCAGTGTAACCTTCTATTAGGGAAACATTTACCATTTCAGCCCAGAGTACGTGTGTAACAGGATAGCCTTGTAAGCAAGATGTGTATCTGAATAAGTCATAAGCCTCTTACACCAGCATACGGATCAGAGAGGATGCAGATCTGTGGATTTCCCTTTGGATCTATGAATTTTCTACAAGTGCATCTCTTTCTGTTTGCCACCATCAGATCTCAGTGGAATGGAAATTTGAGGTTTGTGATAGTCCCTAAAGTGGGCCTCATCTGGTACATTTCCCAGACACTTAATCCACTTGAGTCTTTTGAGAGGAATTAAAGAGGTATGCTAGCTTAGCCTGTCTGAATCTTCTTGTGTAGACATGTACCAAGCAGATATTTACCCTCTTTTGGTCTATACAACAATATTAATTGTCATAAGCTTTTCTTGTCCTGGGTTTTTTTTGGTTTTGGTTTTGGTTTTGGTTTTTTGTTTGTTTCTGTTTTGGGGTTTTTTTGTTTGGTTTGGTTTGGTTTTGGTTTTTTTTGTTTTGTTTTGTTTTGTTTTTTGTTTGGTTTGGTTTGGTTTGGTTTGGTTTCCGATGCAATTGCCTTGGGAAGGGACAGAGGGACATGTTCAAGTGATCTTTTGGATATGGTTCTCTGTGTGAGCTCTTGAAGACCGGAAAACTCTTACAGAGAAATAGAGGAGTAAAAAAATATATACAGCATATTTTTATTCTACCTTTATTCTGACATTTTAAAATTGCTTAGCATGACATGCAACACTGGCACCAGCCAGAGACAGAGGCAGGCCTGGACTTTCACTTTCTCCAGGACACTCAAGAGAAGTAAAATTCAGTATGTGCACAGAGGGATATATCTGGTTGACTGTGATAGACATGAGAGGTTTTCATCCCAGAGACCAACTGGAAACGAGAATTACTCTGCTGCCATTCACCCTATTACAGTGTTATAACCTGACCCAAAATAAAGTAATTTGAAATGTATTGAATAGTCACATTTGGTATCCAAGTAATTTTTTAGCTTTGGTATGGCCAAACCAAAATATCCCAGTCCAATTTTGAGAAAATGGGTAAGCCATATAATTTCCAGTGTGTTAAGTGTGAAGTTCCCCTTTCAGTGCAATAACTTCAGGAGTTTACCATCCTATATGGGAATAGAAGCTTATTTAACATTATACTGTCATGACTACACCCAAAACTATTAAAAAAGAGCATTGTGGAGACAAAGCCATTATGTTTTTTTTTAGAAAGTCTCCGTTAAAAAAAATTCTTTGAGTAACAACTGTTTGGGTGATCCATCTGTAAAATTAAGATGTCAATAAGGCTACAAAATGATGACTGAAAGACAGATGTCTTTCAGTGAGAAGTGAAGGGAAAACATGCAAACACTTATGAATGACAGAGATTTAACCTTCACAATCTGCCAAAGGAGAGAAATTATCTTTTTTAAAATTTTCACACTGTCTTGGAGGATTTTATTATAACGGAATATAACTTATTGGCAGTAATTAGGTGAAATTTGTGTTATGCAGGACACAAGACTACATGACCTAATGGTCTGTTCTGGCCTACAGTTTGTTTAAATATGACTAATTATTTTATGCAATTTTTTTCCAATGTAACATAGTTTAGCAGTTAGTCAAAATGGAATTTGGTTATTCCTAGTAAGCAAGTGATAGATAAACGTGGGTAATGTTTACTTGAAGATTTCAATGGTCTACATATCTTCATGTGGTTTCTTTCATGGTTTTGCACATGAAGGACTCCACAGAATGTGAGACATGACTGAGCTCTTGGTCTGAGGTTATGCAGTATTATATCCAGTTCTTACAAAAAAATACAAAACTGCTCTGAGTAGCCTGCAGGAGTACTTTTCTAGGGAGATCATCACATGGGGTCTTCTTGTTTAATGCTTTGTTTTTCATTGTGAAATTTCAACTGATCATGAAGACAGAAAAAGGTCATTATCAACTGGCAGAGAATGTGCATGGAGGGCACAGAAGATCAACAGCAGCTCTGATCTTGGGGTTAGTTCA